GACAAAAAAAAAAAAAAGATTTATTCTTCTTACCTCATTGAGATCCTCAGCCCTGTGCTTAAAGTCGAACAACGTTTTCAACGATGAGGAAGCTTGAGAATGAAAGTTGAGAGTTTTCATAAGTTGTGTTTAAATGTTAATTTAGATTGATTGAGGGGGGAAAATGTACTGACAGATTGGGAAATATGTCAATACTGTTTATTATTTGCTTGTATAGTTCTGATGCCTTTTTTTTTTTTTTTTTTTTTGGTATTGCTGTTCCAGTCTTTCTTTTGAGATAAAGTGATTTAGCAGTACTTTTACTTTTGTAGGAATCCCAACCTAAGTTAGGTTCCAGGCAAGACACTTCGGAAGGTTTGGTTCTTTTTTCTTTCGTCTCGACAATATCTCTTGTCAGACATGGTAAAAAATACGTTTTCCTGTTACAGTTGAAGCATCTCAGAATGGTAACTCTATGCATGGTACTCAAAACGGAGGATCTAATACTCAGGCAATGGCTGCCATCCCACTGGCAACTGCTGGGGCCCCGGGTGTCGTTCCTGGTCCCCCAACCAACTTAAATATTGGAATGGACTATTGGGGTGCACCATCCACTATCCCTGCAATGCGTGGAAAGGTTCAATCCGCTCCAGTTGCCGGACTAGTTACCACTGGATCTCGGGATGGTATACAGTCACAACTTTGGTTGCAGGTAAACTCTTAATATGATTCAAAAACTTGAACTCTGAAGTTGATAAACGACAAAAAAAAAAGAAAGAAAAAAAAGTAACATAAAATTTTGGATTTAGGATGAGAGAGAGATTAAACGACAGAGAAGAAAGCAATCAAATAGAGAATCTGCACGACGTTCCCGGTTACGTAAGCAGGTATTGAAAAACCTGCTGGAAACTATTAATCTTGTTGGTAGACCTGGTTTCTCGTACCTCTCCTATTACCAACTGGTTCCAAACTCATGATTTTCAGGCAGAATGTGACGAATTAGCACACCGAGCTGAAGCTTTACAAGAAGAGAATGCCAGTCTTAGGTCTGAAGTGAACCGGATAAGGAGTGATTATGAACAACTACTCTCAGAGAATGCTTCTCTGAAGGTAATACTAAAAATATTTACTTTCCTGCTTCTCATTTCTTTCACCCCCTCAATGTTTTGTCACACCTTGACCATCACTTCATTATAATTACTTTATGATGTTGATTTTTTTTTCTAATTTACAAAGAAGTGTACATGCCAAATGGAGCAAGCTGTTTTCCTTTGAATAATCCTTAGCCATCTTTCTGGTAATCAACGAGACGGGTTGGATATTTAGACTTATGTCGCAATAATATTGTGAGATCCCACATCGGTTGGGGAGGAGAACGAAGCATTCTTTATAAAAGTGTGGAAACCTCTCTCTAGCAGATGTGTTTTTAAAAAAATCTTGAGGGGAAGCCCGAAAAAAAAAGCCCAAAGAGGACAATACATGCTAGCGGTGGGCTTGGAGAAATCATCTTCCCCTTCATTATTGCATCAGATATATGTTGTGCACAAACTTGCCCCATCTAATGGGCTAGATTTTGTTTATGCAGGAACGACTCGGGGAAGTTCCAGGAAATGAAGAACTAAGGACCAGCAGGAACGGCCAGCACTCGAGTAACGAAACCACTCAACTTACAGAGTCAGCGGTCGTGCAAATCGGTAACAAGAATTGAATCTTCCCCTCCTGCTTACTGCTGCATTTTTATGCGCATAACCTAACTAATTTGTCAACCCCAAAATTTTAGTTCCCATAGCTTGTAGTTCTAGTTTAAATGTAAGCTACTGACCTGTTGTAGTTTTAGGACTGTTTGTTCCTGCAATCCATATTATGATATCTCCATGGGGTGTATCCTTAACTGTAAAAGCCCACAAAGATTAGATATTTGGTGTGTGAATTTATTCTTGTAGCATTCACACGTTAGCTTCTGTACTAAAACCGTCCACATTAATTATTGTTAACTTGGAGAAAAGTTAATACACCTTGGCAAGGCTTTACTTTTTCTTGTACTTTCTGTTTTTTATTTGTGGTTTTCTTGAATTTTTGTTGACCATCCTGAGACTGAGCACATTAGCAAGTCTATAAGAGAGATTCATTAAGGTGCACATAAGATGGTTCAAACAACGAGTTGTCAGCGAACCCGAACATATCACAATCTATTCATAATGCGTCGAGTTGTTATCCTGGAATTCATTATCAAGATGGATTGCTTTTACTTGGTCGACGAACTCATAATAAGGCTAGGATTTGTCGCAAGCGGAGTACTCGATCAATCACTGATGACTTAAATAGTTCATTGAAATTTGGTGTCTTTTTTTTTGTATTTAAGTGGTTACTAATTTAGTATATGGATAGTATGCCTTCGTCGCTCCATTCTGCCTCGGGCCAGAAGTGACTAGTCATTTTTCGAATGCCTCGACTTATGGTCTAATTTGATTTACAATACCTCCTTCCTTAAAATAACTGAACATCATTAAATAAAATCTTGTCCCCGAAAAGAATTTATCTGGTAAAAATACCTTCTTCCTCCAGCGTTCTTCTATACAAACCACCATGAAAAATCCCTCCCCTCCTACCCATTGGAGGACCCTCTTTCACAACAGCATCTCCATTGGAAACAGCTGCTACAACAGTTACTGAATCTCCATTGAGCCAAACAACTGGTGATGGAGGAGCAGCTGAAGCAGCACATTGGCGTCGGGCATTTTGGGCATCTGGGTTTACAGGATTCGGGGCATTTCAACCGTATCGAGCAGCAACCTGCACAGCTTGGTCTTGAACATTTTGGTGGTCGCCAGCATTTCACTTTGCAGCAGCATCCATCACAAGAGACTGCACAGCAACATGATCTTTTTGGTAGATCACAAGTTTGTCGAATCTTTTTTAGGCGAACTTTCGTGGTAATGTTCTCCATATCTTGGATGAATTTGCAAAGATGGCGGATGTAGTTTGGATAAAGCTCTAAGTTGCAGTGTCCTCCTCCTTTTATCCATAGAGGGTCGTATGGTTCTTGCGACATTTTCCATAATCCATTTCCATGAAGCCAGTCGACAACATCATCGTCCGTGCCCTGTGAATTTTATCCAGGAACATCAAAGTCATCGTTGGTAACGTTCGCAGTTAGTACAAAAACTGTTTGGCAGAATTCGAACCATTTTTATGATATGTTTTCATAATGTCGTGAATAGAACAGCTACCCAATCATATTTTTAAGATAAAAACTTGTCTACACCAATTCTCACATGACCATCTAATCATTCTTGGGTTCGTTTTTATGATATGTGATCGTAAAGTTGTGAATAGAACAGTTATTTGAACATATTTTCACCGTAAAAACTTGTCTACACCGATAATCACTTGACCATCTAATTAACGCTCGGGTTTGAAACCATGGAAACAAAGTTCAAGTTATTTTTTTTTTCATGAAACATATCCAAAAGGGGGAAATGGTGGAAAGAACTTACATGTATCACAAGCACAGGACACTTCGCCTTCTTAATTTTGTTAATATTCTGCAATGGTGAGAATACTCATAAGCTTAACGTACAGATGAAAGTATTGATGCCATAAACGTCAAAGATAGGCATGTGACCTTATAAATGTCAAAGCAACAGGTGAACTTCACATGGCATAGAACCCGTAGACCCGAAAGGATTGCGCTATGCAGCACGACACCCCTCAACCGTGGCAGTTTAGAAGCCAAATGCAACGTTGGTCCACTTCCAACCGATTGCCCATACAAGATCAAGTCTTCTTGGCTGACTCCATACTCAGTTTCAAGGCACTCGTATACCGCTTCGATGTCAGCATACGTATTTGATTCGCTCGGCTGAATTTCACAAACAATGTTAATTTGACTCACTGATAGCGATTGTGATTTAAAATTTTTGTAAACAGGAAGATCAATGAGCAAAAACCGAGCAAGAGCTAGCTAATTCTGCCACGTTCTAACAACGATCCGACCATTTTCGTAATGAGAATCAATGAAACCTCGTCACTAAATGCTCAAATGGAATGCTAAGGACTCCAAATTCATCAGATTTTCATCAATGACAAGCCTAGATTATTTGTAACAACCCAAGCCCACCGCCCCCACATTGATTAGAGAAGGGAACGAAATATTCCTTATAAGGGTGTGGAAGCCTCTCCCTAGCAGACGCGTTTTAAAACTGTGAGACTAACAAAAATATGTAACATGCCAAAGCGGATAGTATCTGCTAGCGGTGCGCTTGGGCTGTTACATTAATTCCCGTCTATTTTGGGTTAGTCTCATTCCCTCATTGGACCCCTATCTTTTCGATGTTGTCACAGTAGAAAGGTTAGAATTCTAACCTGCCATTTCATTTCTAGAGATCAATCCCTAAACTCTTGAACGGTCAAATCAAAGGTATAAAATGTATGCTTATATGATTTGAGTCAAATATTGTTCTATAGAGTGGAACAGCAACATACCTTACCAGTTGAAGCTCCATAGCCAGAATAGTCATATCTGCATAAAAGATTACAAAAGTTTAGATACGAAAAAATGTAAGCCAGAAACCGATGAAAACGAACAAATTCCCCGAAACGAAACCAAGAAAAGCTCAACAAAATGCATTAGACATGAGAGTGTGTTCAAGATTATGGCATTAGGCTGCACATTTGTTCTCCTAAAACAAATTAACAGCTTAGTGCAAACGTTTTTCGTCTCAACCGTGTTTAGGGCAACTGAAGCATACTTCACTTCGGCTAATTATCTCAAGGGACAACCGTCATACCATACAACATTCGACTTCAAGAAACTAGTAGAATTCAATATTCTAGGTAGTTGGTATGAGATCCTATATCGGTTGGAGAGGGAAACGAAACATTATTTATAAGGGTGTGAAAATCTCTCCTTGATAGACGCGTTTTAAAACCTTGCGAGAAATCCAAAAGGGAAAGCCCAAAGAGGACAATATCTGCTAGCAGTGGGTTTGGACCGTGACAAATTGTATTGGAGCTAGACACCGGGCAATGTGCTAGAGAGGACACTGGGTCCTAAAGGGGGGTGGATTGTGAGATCTTACACTAGTTTGAGAGGGAAACGAAACATTTTTTATAAGGGTGTGGAAATCTCTCCTTAACAAACGCATTTTAAAACCTTGAAGGGAAACCCGAAAGAGAAACTCCAAAGAGAGCAATATCTGCTAGCGGTGGGTTTGTGTTGTTACGACTGACCATAAGGATTCAACTAATCTAAAAGGACGATTGGACTTCCGTGTAAGCGCACGAATAGGTCAACGATATAATTGTCAATATGAACACTCACTAGGCACAATTTCTAGTAAACAAAAGATGAGTTATTGAGGAAAAAACATGTGATTTCATGGGAAAAGGAAAGCAAATCTTGCATAGAACAGAACAATGAAAAAGGGAGTAAAAGCAGAACTTTCCCAGAACCCCAAAAGCACAGAACTCCATCAAAAAAAACATAATTTGCAACTCAAAGAGGGGAAATGTCTGCTTTTTTCAGGGAAAAAGGGTAAAAAGAAGGTTAAAAAATGACCTGAAAAGAGACCAACTTTGGAACTATTAAACTAGCCTTCTCTTCTTCACTTTACACTCTCCATTGGTAAATAATTGATGTAAATCTCCCAACCCAAATGCAAAAACAACGGTAACTTTCAAATTTCCATTTCGAGGGAACATTCAAAAGTAAAAGAAGAGAGATAGAGAGAGGACTGAACCCATGAGATTGAAAGGATAAGCAATAACTAAATGCTTCTTATACAAAAATGTCAGAGAAAGAAAAGCCATAGCCAGAAAAGCTTCAACAGAAACAGAGTTCCCTGAATCAGAGCAAAGTGAGAATCTAACACTCATTATCCATATTGTCGTCAGCCTCATAGTTTTAAAATGCGTATTCTTTCACACCCTTATAAGGAATGTTTCGTTCTCTTCTCTAACTAATGTTAGATTTCACAATCCACCCCCTTTTGGGGTCCTCTGTCCTACTGACACACCGCTCGGTGTCCTCGTGGCACATCGCCTGATGTCTGACTCTTATACCATTTGTAATCACTCAAGTCCAATGCTATCACTGTGAGATCCCACTTCGATTGGAGAGGGGAACAACATTTTTTTAACAGGGTGTGTAAGTCTCTCCCCAGTAGAGACGTTTTAAAACCATGAGGCTGATGCCATACGTATGGACTAAAGCGGACAATATCTGCTAGCTGTATGACCTTCGTCTATTGCAAGATTTAACCCATTAGATGGAAACCAATTTCATCAAAAGGTAAGTAAAATGAATCCTTACCAGAAAGAGAAGTCATAGCCAAAAAAGCATAAAAAACAGAGATCCATTAATCAGAACAAAGTTAACAGAGAGTACTGACCCCATGAAAGAGGGGGGAAAAGCTCAACTCCTCAAAGTAATAAAACTTCAACAAAAAACAGAGTCCCATTGAGAAGAAAACTGAAAGAGGGGGAAAAAATCCAATCCCTTCAATGCATTAAACCTCAACAAAAACAGAGCTCCATTGATAAGAATGTAAAAGAAACAGGGAAGTAAACCCAGAAAAAAAGCTTCAAGAAGAGGAGAGCTCCATTAATCAGCACAGAGTTGAGAGAGAGAGAGAGCCCAAAAGAGTTTCAACAAAAACAGAGCACCATTAATCAGAAGAAAATTATATGAGAGATACAAAGAGAGTGAAAAAAAAAAAACCAGAAAAGCTTCAACAAAAAACAGAGCTCCAAATAATCAGAACCCAGAAGAAACTACGCCCCATAAGTTCAAAAATAAATTTAAAAGGAAACCCAACTCGTTCAAAGTGAAGAACAAATCATTGAGAAAGAAAGGAAAAAGAACAAACCCCATAAGATTAACTCTGAGATTACGTTTAAGCTGAAGAAAAAGGTCATAGAGTTGGCCAAGGTCTGCAGCGTTGCCATGGGAGTAAAGCAGAGTAAGTCTCGCACAAGGATTCCTCAAATAAAATCCCACTATCTTATTCCCACATTTCGTATCAATCATCAAAACATCCAACAAACTGTCCTCCACCACCGACCCCACCGCTCCCGCCGCCGTCGAAACCACCGTAAGCCGACCGTCGCCGTCTCGCTTTCTGATCAGATAAGTCGACGGCGACGGCGGAAAGAAGGCGAATTTGGAAGCCAAACGAGAGAGCATGCAACCCATTCACTGCAAAAACAGCTTAAACTCAAATTCATCAGATTCACATCTCTTTTTTGGAGGAGAGGAGAGAGAGAAAGTGGGTTAGAGAGAGAAATAAGAGTAATGGAGAAATGAAAGTGGGATTTGAAATGGAAGGAAATGAGATTTGGATGTCTAGCTATACTTGGTGTAAGATCGTTGTAACGTAAAGTTTTCTATAAGCACAGAAAGAGAGATAGATAAATGGGAGTGGCAGAAACAGAGTCCCTATATATTAAATTCAACTCTGTTTTTGGGTGCCTCGTTAAAATTATTTAAATAATAATTGAAAATATAGATAAATTTTCGAATTGTCAATAAATATTTTTTTTAAATATTAAATTAAGAAATAAGCCTTTCACCTTTTTTTTTAAATAATTTTAATTTTTCATAATCAATATTTAGTCTACATTAACCATATTTGGTTGATATTTTAATAATATTTGTTAATATTTCGTGAATCTCAAAGGAGATTGAATTCCTCAGAGAATATGTATTATATTTTTATATATTTTTTAAAAAAATATTTTAAAAATTAATAACATTACTAAAAATAAATGTCGAAATGTTAATAAAGACAAAAAAAAAATAATAAATAATAAATAATAACAATAATTTAAATAAAAAGTGGGTCCAAGAAAGTGGGGAAGCAGAAGATTACTTGAAATGAAGAACTTTACAGAGAGGCAGTACTCGTGTATTACAGTTTTGTCAGTAATATTGCTACATCCTAAGCGGCGAACCCGCATCACGCTTTCAATCTTGGCCGTCCATTTTTTCATTTTTAGCATCATATTTTCCACATCATTTTTATTTACTTAAAATGATTTAATTTAATAAAAATACCATATATATCTCAAACCTTTCAGAAATAAACTTTTTAAAAAAATCTAAAAATGCTCTAAAACTTGTATTTTAGTGAAAAATTAACACCTTTCAAGTCTTATAAAAATAGTCAAATTAATAAAAATATCTAAATGTCTAAAAAAAGAAAATACTTTTACAGTTAGTTTTAGATAAAAACAATTAATACTTTATTTTAAAAATACTCTTTTATCTTCTTAACTTTTTTAAATTATTTTTTTAACTTTAAAAAATAATGGTTTTAAAATACTTTTTAACTTTTGAAAAGTGTTTAAAAAATACAATAATTGTGAAAAAGATATATAGCAAATTCTGAAAAAGAAAAAAAAGAAACATACTGAGATAGAACATGCAGTTAACTTAATTCACAATTTTACCTTCCAGTAGTTGCAAGTGTTAGACGAACATGAATCTCTACAATGGTATGGTGATATTGTCCACTTTGAGCATTAGCTCTCATGGCTTTACTTTAAACTTCCCCAAAAGGCCTTCACACCAATGGAGAGAGTTTTATAAACCCATGATCATTTCCTAAATTAGCTGACGTGGGACTTTAATCATCCAACACCTCCCCTCGAACAAAGTGCGCCTCCCCCCTCCCCTTAATTGAGGCTCGACTCCTTTGGAGTCTTAGTCATTTTTTACTGCCTTCAAGGAGGCTTGACTCGTTTTCTTCTGGAGTCCTTTGTTCGATATTTGAGGAGTTACCAATCTATTAGCACGACTAAGTTTTAGGGCATGACTCTGATACCATGTTAGACGAACACGAATCTCCACAATGGTATGATATTGTCTACTTTGAGCATAAGCTCTCATGACTTTGCTTTGGACTTTCCCAAAAGGCCTCATACCAATAGAGAGAGTATTCTTTGTTTATAAACCTATGATCATTCCCTAAATTAGCCGATGTGGGACTTTCATCATCCAACGGGAAGAGTTAAGAAATTGTTTTCTGTTATCTTCATTGTTTAAGTGACAGAAAGCGTAAGTATAGTTCTTACCTTTGCAACATAATGGCCAGAAAAGTGTTGACGCATTTGATTGTCTGGAAAAACATCACGGTAGAAAATAACTCAGAATGACATTAATTCAGTTGCAGGAATAACTCTCTCTTTCTAATATGCTATGTTTGGTAGAAAATTTCTAGCATAAGCTACTTTCTGGGTTTAATTTAATTCTCAAAAGAAAGCAAGAAAAGAAGTAGAACCCAAAATGAGGTGTTTTATCCGAGGAAGCAGATGATCACCAAATGGAGAACCAGGTTGCACAGAACGAAATCAGCAAAAGCTCGCTCTGGGGCCAAATCCTGAAAATTTGAAGAGGATTCGTTAAGCATTTCGAATCGTGTTGTAACCAATTTTTGGATTTCATGATAGGAAGTTCGTCTATTATTTATTTTTCCCATAATGAATGGAGGTTAGGTTGGGGGAGGGAGTGATTTCCTTTCCACCATGAAAAAATGGCATGAAAGAATGGGTTAATGCCTTTCATTTCAAATCATGTGAGGAATGGTAAGTATTTGAACAAATTGTTTAAAATTTTATGGCTGATCCCGCGTTAGTTGGATAGTTGGAGAGGAGAGAACAATTCTTTACAAGGGTATGGAAACTTCTCCCTAGCATACGCGTTTTTAAAAATCTTGATGGGAAGCCCGAAAGAAAAAGTCCAAGGAGGACAATATCAGCTAGCGGTGGGCTTGGATTGGACGGTTTCAGTTTGGAATATTCGTTGTTAATGAAAAGAAAATAAGGATTTTACCCATACTCTTTCCTAATATGCAAATGAAAAATGAAAGTGAGGTCAAATTAAGTAGGAAAAACATGAAGAAATTACCTTGAACTCCTTGTTTTCTTTATTAACTTGAATCCGGAGACAAACTGAAAATGAAGAATTCGATCAGAATAGGAATTGCTCCTCACATTATTTTGTGATTTGATAACCAAGATATACATCCTGCTTACCAGCAAGGACAGCTGTCCCGATACAAGAAAGAACGCCAGAGAGGAAGGAGTTGAATGGGAACGATCCAACAATCGCCATGTATGCTACCTGTTTACAAGAACTTATAGGTTAAAAGTAATTCAAAACAAATTTAAGAACTCGGAAACATTTTAAAAGTGCGACTCGGCGTTGTGCAAGATGAAGGCATCTCCACAGCGCAAAAGGTGCGTGCTGTTGGATATCTCTGACCTTATAAATTTATGTTGCATAGATAAACCTAAAAAGCCTATAGCTAAAGAATCACCTAAAAAAATATCATCTAATTTTTCATTACATTGTCATTCATCTCATACATATGTTCTATATATTTAGTTAGGCATCACAGTTCAAAATATAAAATGCGTAGAAAATCCAAACGATGAATCATATACTCAACCGAGTTTTAAATGTGAATGCCAACGATACAGACCCACGATTATAAAACAAAGATCAAATGCAAATAATTGAGTAGCATTAGTTTATCAAGCACAGCCAACACTAATGAAACCTTCCACTCCCACAAGCACTTTTTGTTGATAAAATTTATTCAACGTAAATGAAACATGCTCAAGTATTCAATTAAACGAAAAAAGAGAGTTATAACTTACCAAGGAAATCAGGAAACTTTCAGAACTCGGTGAGTTAATTGATCTCTTATAATTAATATTCAATTCAATTATAGCTTTATCAAAAGAAAGAGGCCAAACGTTGAATTGAACAGATGAAGCACATAATACGTGCCATTATGTAAAGGGTGTCAAGATAAGGTCACAACATTCCTCCACAAATGGACTCGGCATGAAAGGCCGATCCCTTTGTTGGATCCTTGGTACGAGATGAATTTTCAAGATGTTTAGGCAACATTACTTTTGATGTCTTCTTGAGGCAACTCAGATTTTTGTAAGTATTAGCTTGTACTGTTTGAGGTACTTGGAAAATTTCTGCAACCAGTTTAAGCAAGCAAGAGGATTCCATTCTATTGTATTCTTCCATTTTCAATGAAGGTTGCTCATAAAAAACAATGATAAGCAGAGGAACAAGAACTTATGCTGAGATATACAAACCAGCATGGAGTTTGGTAAAATAACAGGCTAGATCGTATTTTATAAAAAGTAAAGAAAACAGAAGCAACGTCAAACTTGCATTTATTTTTCCATTGCAATGCAGTTTTCCACAATCGAACACAGTTCAAAGACAGTAATCAAAAGAGCGTGACACATTGACGAATTCGGACGCAGAAAAGGAAAATTCGAAACAAATCCGTTCCGGAACAACACAAAACTATCAATAATCAAGGAAATGGCGTCCACAGAAGGATCAAAACGGCACAAACCTGGATCAGAGCCGTGAACACAGCATAAATCACGTAGAGATCAATGATCTGCGAGGAAGACGATCTAGGTCAAAATTCCATCAGCAAAATTCAGAGCGGGAGTGAAAAGATATACCATACCTTGAGAGTCGTTGGAGTGGCAGCATAAGCTGAGCGAAGCGACTGGAAAAGAGCTTGAGCGTCCTTGCTTGTGGATCTCGCCATTGCAATACCGAGCTCTGGAGCCTCAATGAGCAAAGAACAAATGAAGACGTCCGTCCAAAATGAAATCCTAGGGAAATCTCACAAGTTTTTAGGAGCGAAAAGTCCTTTTTACCCTTTTATAGAACTCGGTCCTAACTTTCCGAAAATCGCCTAACGGCCTCTCTTGCGGGTAGCCCCTCCACGATTCTTCTCAGGCAAGCTGCAATCGCCGCCGCCGCCGCCCTACTCCACGGCCAATGACGTGGAAGTTTGTGGACTTTCATTGAATCAAGCCACCCAATTCTCCAACTAATTCAAAATTAAAATAATTTAATTCTTCTATAATATTTACTTTATAATTTAGAATTTAGATTGATACACTAATTATAAATTAGTAAATTAACATTTAGATCAATTTTATTGTTGGTTACATGTTCTATCCGCTTAGAGATCGAATTATAGTGTACTTGGGGAGAAGTCACAAAAAACGACCATTTTAAAATACAAATAAAATCACATCAAATTATGTTGTCAAAATTTGAATGGTCTAGCTGCGACACGTAAAAGAATAGATCACATATCTAACCTTTTCATATAAGCCCCACTTAGCTCGAGAAGGTATAGCTCAATTGACATAGCTCCACTTTGATTATGTTTTTTTCATTCAACAACACGTGGAATGAAAAGATTTGTACATCTTACCTCTTGGTCGAGAATATATATCTTAACCAGTTGAACTATAGTTTGATCAGAGTTCTATTTATGGGTCGACAACGCGTGGAATGAAAAGATTGAACATCTTACCTCTTGGTCGAGAATATATGTCTTAACCAGTTGAACTATAGTTTGATCAGAGTTCTATTTATGGGTCAACAACACGTGGAATGAAAAGATTGAACAAACTTACCTCTTGGTCGAGAATATATGTCTTAACTAGTTGAACTATAGTTTGATCAGAGCCAAATTCAAACTCATTTAGATCAAAATTCAAACTCATAGCACACATATGCCATGGGTGGGTATCAAAAGTGGGGGAAATTGGTAAGATGAGCCTGGTGTTCATCATTTCTTGGCCTGAGATTGCTCCACAAGGTATCTGCAAAACAGATCTAGTTTTGAGAGAACTGAATACTTGCATTTCATTTCAGCATATAACAAACAAACAAACACTTCAGTCAAGGAAACTGCACATTAAATTTTGAAATGAAGGCCTTTTTGTGTTTCTTTCAAAGAAGGAAGATACTATAAAATATGAAACAGCTGTGGACAAGAAGAAATATATAACGCATGTCTTGAGCGAGAATGAAACTAAGCAGAACTCACTTGCCAGTGTAGAAGCCTGCAGAATACCAAGCATTTAACACAGTAGTAAGGTCTGTTTCAGAGCTAGCACCCCTTTGAGGCATTATCCCATCATGTCCCTCGCTTTCTTTCTCTATGTGAACTGATTAAAAAGAAACAAAAATGTCACAAGGTATCAAATCATGCAACTTAAAGCCCAACCCCTATTCCTTTGGCGGATTAGTGTAGCGGCCCCAAGCCGACTGCTAGCCAATATTGTTCTCCTTGGGCTCAACCTTTCAGACTTTCCCTCAAGGTTTTTAAAACACGTCTGCTAGAGAGAGGTTTCCACACCCTTATAAAAGGTGTTTTGTTCTCCTCCTCAACCAACCAATGTGGGATCTAACAATAAACCGTTACAATTAGGCATAGAGATGGTTTTAAAAAGGATAAGATGAAAACGTGAAGTACATAGACAATGTAAAGGAAAGCCTAATGGGAAGTTCATTAGTACGTTTTCTGTCACCATTTGTTACAAAAACCTAGACATCTCAACCAGTAAACATGAAGTCCCTATAATCTTATCTAAAGCTAAAGAATCATATAGAAATGAAATGTGCTAGATGACCATATAGAAACTGGTAAAATGATGGCTTGCAGCAATATACATGTTCCAATATCGTACAATGAGCATCAAGTGGTTTGGTCCATTCTCATCACATAATCATTAAGCGAATATGACACGAGGGGCACATGACTAAACAAGGACAACACGAGGGTGTGCAAAAACAACAACCTAGTAGGAGCCAGACAAGAACAAACCTTGAAAGGGAATCTAATGCAAAAGAACAAAACATAACGAGTAATAACAAAGTCCTTAGATACAAACGTCCAAAGGGACATACACTTTATCATCTTTTTATTGTATAGTTTTAGCAGAGAAGAGAAGAGAAGAGCCATTATAATTTCTTTCATTAGCTTTGTTTTTGTAACGATCCAGATTCACCGCTAGCAGATATTGTCCTCTTTGGGCTTTCCCTTTCGGGCTTCTCCTCAAGGCTTTAAAACGCGTCTGCTAGGGGAAGGTTTCCACACCCTTATAAAGGGTATTTTGTTCTCCTCCCCAACCAATGTGGGACATCACAATCCACCCCCCTTCGGGGCCCAGCGTCCTCGCTGGCACTCGTTCCTTTCTCCAATCGATGTGGGACCCCCTCCAAATCCACCCCCCTTTGGGGCCAGCGTCCTTACTAGCACATCGTCTTGTGTCTACCCCCTTCGGGGAACAATGAGAAGGCTGGCACATCGTCCGGTGTCTGGCTCTGATACCATTGGTTGGGGAGGAGAACAAACTACCCTTTATAAGGGTGTGGAAATCTTCCCCTAGTAGACGCGTTTTAAAGCCTTGAGGGGAAGCCCGAAAGGGAAAGCCCAAAGAGGACAATATCTGCTAGTGGTGGATCTGGGTCGTTACAAATGGTATCAGAGCCAGACACCGGACGATGTGCCAGCCTTCTCGCTGTTCCCCAAAGGGGGATAGACACGAGGTGGTGTGCCAGTAAGGATGCTGGGCCCCAAAGGGAGGTGGATTTGGTGGTGGTCCCACATCGATTGGAGAAAAGAATGAGTGCCAACGAGGACGCTTGGCCCCGAAGGGGGGTGGATTGTGATGTCCTACATTGGTTGGGGAGGAGAACAAAACACTCTTTATAAGGGTGAGGAAACCTTCCTCTAGCAGACGCGTTTTAAAGCCTTGAGGGGAAGTCCGAAAGGGAAAGCCCAAAGAAGACAATATCTGCTAGCGGTGGATCTGGGTCGTTACAATTTTGCTTTGTATTGATTCTGGGGGGGGAGGTATTTTCATGCCCCCTTTGACATATTTTGTTGCCTCTAGTTCATGTTTTCTAGTGAACATCATGTTCATGATGTTTTTTCTAATACAAATTTTGTTACTTGTTCAAAACATCTATGTCATCAGAGCATACATAAAAGGAATCTTCAATCATAGAATAAAAAGAAATGCAGATAATCTGAAGAGATTCATTCAGGCTCCATAAAATCATGCCAACCTTTATTTACAGTCTTTATGGACGATATAGCTCTTGCTGCAGAATCCATTGCAGTTTTGATTATGTCACCATCAGCATGGGACGAACTTTGAGGACCTGTAGCCAATGAGTGAATAATGGGTAACACTTTTGCCCAACAGCCATTCCAAACAAGGAACAAATAGAAAATTGATATCACATACCAGCTGAAATTGGATAACTGGAGGGCGAGTAAGACGGTATTGTCTGGTTAAGAGAAGGTTGGCTTGCAGAGACTGGGTGTTCTTGATAAGCAGCAGATGTTCCCCATTGATTTCCAATGTCAGACCCTGCACCGACATCCTGGTAGTTCCAACCACCAGCACCACATTGATAAAGCTGTTCTAGAACCTTCTGCCTCTTCTCCTCAAGCTCGTAATACTGCTTGAGTAGCTCGTTATAGCCATCTTCACCTTTTAGATTTAAATTGGAGTCCTCAACGGTCTCCTGTTCCGTCTCTTTCACATATAGGGCGGCTGAAAAATCTGTACAAGATATAGGACATGGCTCTACACTGATATTTTCCTTAGCTTCTGAGGTATTTGTAGTCTCATTGACTTCAAACATAACATCATTTGCTCCAATATAGCTCTCTTCATCTACACTCCTGTTCTTTCAAGATGCAGTAGTTTAAGAGATAGTAATAAAATATTAAGCGGGATAGCTTCAAAGAAGACACTCAGGGCGTCCCAAAAAACGTCCCATAAACGATAATAGAAGACAAAAGAAGAATTCATGCAAGGGCAGATCATATTGGGGCCAGCGGGGGCATGTGCCCTCCTCAAATTATAGGACCCTTCCACAATTGGACAAGAATGACACTGAAATGGAAAGTTACAATACCATGAATCTCTACTAGATCACTGCTTTTTTCTCAAAATGTTTCACCTAAGTTGTGTTTGTAACAGCAGCCAAAGAAACCGTTCTAACAACCTTTCAACCATTCCCATTCTTCTACATCCTGAAAGCAATTGTGTGAGATCCCACGTCAATTGGAGAGAGGAAGAGTGTCAGCGAGGACATTGGGCCCCGAAGGGGGTGGATTGTAAGATCCAACATCAGTTGGAGAGAGAAACGAAGCATTCTTTATAAGGTGGTAGAAACCTCTTCCTAACAAACGCGTTTTAAAAAACTTGAGGGAAAGTCCAAAGAGGACAATATTTGCTAGTGGTGGGCTTGGACCGATACAAATTGCACCCCTAAATCGTTCACGCACCTCCAGAATATTGTAGAGCCAATTTCAAACAAAGCACCTGTAAATGCCCCGCATTTTGCAGGTCGAAAGGCAATGTATTCAAGGCACAATTTCTTCCTTACTTTCACACGCAGAAAATCTTTGATCATTAGTGTGATGTCCCACATTGGTTAGGGAGGAGAACAAAACACCATTTATAAGGGTGTGGAAACCTTCCCCTAACAGACGCGTTTTATAGCCTTGAGAGGAAGCCCGAAAGGGAAAGCCCAAAGAGGACAATATCTGTTAGCGGTGGATCTGGGTTTTAAGAGCCACCCACCACAAATGCAATTTTCAAGGAATTTCAGTCTTGCCTATGAAAAGATTGAGAGTCCAAGATTGTTGCCAAAGACCTTAACTTCCCTGGGATCCCAAATCCAATGTTCTTTGAGACCAGTCAAACAACACCATATAGCATATACGATTCATAAATATAAATCCCAAATCAAAAAATTCTATGGAATAATGAAAGACAGAAAAATCCTTCGAATTGCATCATATTAGTCGATTATATTTATATTGACAACTTCAATCGGGGCTTTAGCGGGTCTATTAATCGAGATCAATCGTTTATTCCTGGATGCGTTGGTATTCCCATTTTTTTTTTCTAGTTATTGACTTGGGAAGGGGGGAAGAAGATTAGAAAAACAATCAAATATCTGTGACTAATCCCCTCCCCCGATTTCTTGAGTGAGTGTTCGCCTTTAGTTATGGCATGAAACGACAAGGCATCAAATCAAAAGACGACCATTCAAGCATCTTTTAAAATTCCTGTGCTTCTTTTGGTGATGGAAAACAACTATCTACCAGGGTCGAGTAACTTATAGCTCGCAAGACTCGTAGCTTTGCAATTAAAGAAAAATTCTTCTTCCATATTCTCATGCAAGATCCTATCCCAAGCCCACCACTAGCAAATATTGTCCGCTTTGGCCCGTTACATAGCGCTGGTTTTAAAACGCGTCTACTAAGGAGAGGTTTCCACACTCTTATAAGAAATGTTTTGTTCCCCTCTCCAACCGATGTGGGATCTCACAATCCACCCCCCTTCAGGGCCAACGTCCTCATTGGCACACTACCCAATGTCTAGCTCTAATACCATTCGTAACTGCCCAAGCCCACTGCTAGCAAATATTGTCTGCTTTGGCCTGTTACATATTGCCGTTAACCTCATGGTTTTAAAATGCATCTACTAGGGAGAGGTTTCCACGCCCTTATAAGAAATGTTTCGTTTCCCTCTCCAACCGATGTAGGATCTCACATATATCCTCCCAAAAGAGTATTTCTTTCCATTCCAAACGGCCAGCTTTAACCCTAGTAGCAAGGTATTGCATCAATAATTAGGCAAGTATTTGAAAGAAACAGGACCGGTCCACAGACCACCGTTAAAAACTCAATAATTAGTAGCCACCCCATACAACTTCAAAGTTTTCACAAACAAATAACCAATGTGCAAAAGGCCAAAGTCAATCAATCCAAAAACCCATTAACATTGTCAAAGAAAAAAGGAAATAGCTATGAAACCATGCGAAAAACAACAAGCATCCAAGCTTTCACTTGCATTTCAACTCATAGAGTCAAACAAAAACAGAACATTGTCGGATACCATGATCACAAAACTTTAAATAATAAACTGGTTGTGAAGATCACGGTTGGGGAGGAGAACGAAACACCCCTTATAAGGGTGTGAAAACCTCTCCCAGTAGACGCGTTTTAAAAAACTTGAGGAGAAGCCCAAAAGGGAAAGCCCAAAGAGGACAATATCTGCAAGCGGTGGGCTTGGGCTATTACAAATGGTATTAGAGCCACACACCGGGCGATGTGCTAGCGAGGAGGCTGAGCCCCAAAGGGGAGGCAGGGGATTGGGAGGTGTCACATCGATTGGAGAAGGAAACGAGTGCAAGCAAGGACGTTGGGCCCCAAAGGGGGTGGATTGTGAGATCTCGATTGGGGAGGAGAACGAAACACCCTTATAAGGGTGTGGAAACCTCTCCCTAGTAGACGCGTTTTAAAAACCTTAAAGGAAACCTCGCCCAAAGGTTAAAGGTTCGAATCCACACCCTAAACCCTTAAAAAGGGAATGTTAAATAATTGCATTAGCATTTCAACTTTCAGAGATACAATAGATGATGCCTAAAAACGAGAAAAACGCTAGGGCAAAAAAACTACGGACCTTCTTGGTTCGTCACTCTTACCGCAACCCTTAAAAACGCCTCCTCCCTCGGCTGAAACACGGCGGACTTCATATCCATGCATTGTCTGAAAAACGCCAACAGTTCATCAGATGTAAGCCACAAATCATACAATTCAAAGAAAATTAACACAAACCAATACCGACGAATCAAAACAGCACTTTCTGGATACTGCAAACGGAGAATTACCAGATGGATAGAAAAAGAGAAGGATAACCTTATACTTCAACATTGCTTCATCCATGGCTCTGACAATCATGGAATCATCCCAGTGCACTCTATCTAGCTCCATATTCTCGACTGAATTCTAAGATTGATGCGATTGAAGAAGAACCAAAGAAAAACCTGAAGGAAATGTGCTCCCGCCTCAACTTGCCGCAACCTGTCTGTTTAGAACTGAAAGTGGCAACTGGCATGACGATAAACGTTTTTCGGGTCTGATCGGATCGGATCGTGCTCGACCCGACTCGACCCGGATATTTCATCAGAGTTTTTTAATTCAATTAAATTTGTATTTTAGTGAGTCGACTTTTTATTTAGTGTATACTAAGGTCATAAATTTAAAAATATTAAATAAAATTTTAAACTTTTAAAAAATACCCATAAAATTTTAAAAATTAGATTCAACACCCGATGGTCGTGGATATCTCGAATAAAATTAATGATAATAAAATTAATAATGATTCTCGAACCAATAAAATAACCTATTTTGCGAAATAAAAGCTATCCATCTGTTATGGAGTCAGATCAATTGATGCTCTCGATGCAATTTTCAATTAACGTGAACAAGCTTTAACTAATTTTCGAGATTGTGTATAAGTTTCAGCTTTGTCGATGACATAGTGAATTTACAAATGTACCCACTAAATTATTTAATAATTAATACATAGTTGGAGAAAAAAAAGTAAAATAAGGGCGGAGTATTTTCTACCGCGGCGTTCTAGGCGATGATTTTGGGAATCGGAAGCTTTCTACCGAACACAATAGTTGGCGGCCACGTGAAGAATATTATAAACTTTATCAGTTATATTAATATCTATATAAATTATTTACAAGTAGGTTAAAATTGGTTATAAACTTTAAATACTCTTAGTCCTTTGAAAAGTGTAACAGATTTCGACCACTTTCTGTAATAACCCATATCCACCACTAGCGGATATTGTCTTATTTGAGCTTTCCCTTTCGGGCTTCCCCTCGAGGCTTTAAAACGCGTCAAATAGAGGAAGGTTTCCACATCTTTATAAATTGTGGTTTATTCTCCTCCCCAACCAATGTGGGACATCATAATCCACTCCGCTTCGGGGTCAGCGTCCTCGCTGGCACTATTTCCTTTCTCCAATTGATGTGGGACCGTCCCCCCACCCCCCTTCGGGGCTTAGCGTCCTTACCGACACACCGCCTTGTGTCTACCCCCCTTCGAGGAACAGCGAGAAGGTTGGCACATCGTCCGGTGTCTGGCTCTGATACCATTTGTAACGAACCATATCCATCGCTAGCAGATATTTTTCTATTTAGGCTTTCCCTTTCGGGCTTCACCTCAAGGCTTTAAAACGTATTTGCTAGGGGAAGGTTTCCACACCCTTATAAATGATACCATTTGTAACGACCCATATCTACAGGTAGCAGACAAAATTTAATATAAAATAGAAATAAAAAACGAACCATTTGTGAAAAGACTATATATATATATATATATATATATTTTTAATTATTATAAAATTTAATATAAAATATATATATATATATTTTTTTAATTATTATAAAATTTAATATAAAATATATATATATATATTTTTTTAATTATTATAAAATTTAATATAAAATATATATATATATATATATATTATATATATATATATAAATAAATGAAATAATTGCGTTAAATAAATTATGTATATAGAAAAAAACTATAAAATAAATTTAAAGAATTAAAATATTGAGGTAATGTTAAACGAGGATAATTTAAAAAAAAAATGCAAAAATTCAACTCAAGCCTTTTATTTTATTTTTCATAAAATTGATATTTTTTAAAATATAATTTGTGAAAAAACTCATAATTATTTTAATTAATTTTGCCGTTTGAAGATTCGTGGCAGCTAACATTAAGGCCAAGGATAAAGACATCGCCGACTTTATAAGTCATTGGCGGGAGCGGTCTTACGACGCCGTTTCAGCCCCATATATAAACTCAATTTTTACCGCCCTTCGTTGTTCGTACCTTAGTTTTTTATTTTCTTTTTTTCTTTGTTCTTTTTTTTTTCCTTGCTTGTTCTTCGCTCCTTGACCTTTTTTTTTTTTTTTTTTTTTTTTTTTTTTTTTTTTTTTTTTTTTTTTTTTTTTTTTTTTTTTTTTNTAAAAAAAAAATGCAAAAATTCAACTCAAGCCTTTTATTTTATTTTTCATAAAATTGATATTTTTTAAAATATAATTTGTGAAAAAACTCATAATTATTTTAATTAATTTTGCCGTTTGAAGATTCGTGGCAGCTAACATTAAGGCCAAGGATAAAGACATCGCCGACTTTATAAGTCATTGGCGGGAGCGGTCTTACGACGCCGTTTCAGCCCCATATATAAACTCAATTTTTACCGCCCTTCGTTGTTCGTACCTTAGTTTTTTATTTTCTTTTTTTCTTTGTTCTTTTTTTTTTCCTTGCTTGTTCTTCGCTCCTTGACCTTTTTTTTTTTTTTTTTTTTTTTTTCCTTTTACTGCAAGTTGAAATCCAGCGGATGGTTATGTTATTTTGTGTTACATGTGAAATTAATGGTAAGATTTTGGTTCTCTTGTTTTTCGCAATTTTTTTTTAAAGTTTCGATTGTGTTTTCAGGCTTTAATCCTCCTGTTTATGGCTGTATTTAGATTTTTGTGTTTAGGAGTGTTAATTTTGTAGTCAAAGCTGATAAAAACCTGCGGGTGACTCCGATCTATTCGATCTCAGTTATTTTGGTTAATTTTTCATGGCAGTTTTAGGTTACTTTTGTGAATTTTCGTTTGGTTTGAGACTTTGAGTTGAATGATTGGTTATGGTATTCCTAATTTAAGTGCAGCAATTTTCATTAGTTACCGGATTATTTAGGACATAGCAAGATTTTAGTATCGGTTTAAGGGGATGGGAGGAAATATTTGGCTGCATTTTAAGATCAGTGTAGCATCGACTGTTGAAGCTCTTTTGTGTTATATTGTTTGTTTTCCTTTATTTTTATACATTTTTATGAAGCAACCATCGACTTTAAGACTTTTAGTTGCACCTGGTAATCTCAACTAGTTTTGCTGTGACAACAAAATCCCATTTTGTCGTCCTCTTATCTCCATTTTGTCTTAATTTATTTCCACTGATTCATGCTTTCAACTTCAGCATGCATGTGAGTAAGCACATTACTACACATAGCTATGTGACAATTATGTCTAATGAATGCCCCCAGACTCTTAAAACTTGAGGATTTTTTATGTTCTTCGATTAGGCAACAAGAATTTTCTAAGTCAAATTTAATGCCCCCCCTCCAAAAAAAAAAAAAAAAAAAAAAAAAAGAAGGGTAGAAAATAGCTAATTTGAAGTTCCTTCCTGATGAATTTAAATTTTACCTGAAAAAATGGTGTAAGCATAGAGCCTTTACACAATTGCTCTGGTAACGCCTTCTCATTGAAGATTAGGCATGGTTTAGCACGTTTAGTTTTTCTCCAACATTAATCTATAGCTTTATTCTTTCGAATTGACATGAATATTTTTGCACATCAAGTTTAATTATGCTGCGTCTTGCAGTTTTGAAAGATTTTTGGTCATAAGAATCTATTTCTAAAAATCCTTTTTTCTTTCTTAGCGTGAATGGATAGTATACTATTTATTATCATCTTCCTCATAATAATGAAAAGACCTTCAAGAGCGCCACCTGAATGGTGTGGTCCATTCTTTCTGTGTTCATATATTTATGGTTCTCCTTGTATTATATGTTCTACATCTGATTTATTTAAATGCCCATCGCAGAACTTACGTTTCGAAGTTTTAGGAAAGAGCTGAGCATCTTAATCTTGATTGGAAGATCATGCGTGTGGAGGAAGTCTAATTTAAAAAATAAATGGGGTCCTTTTTGGCTTTGAGTACTAAATATGTACGAGTGGTGCACACACCATAATCACGTAGTAAACTTGGGAAATTTAGCGATCAATCTGAGGTTTAGGCTTAAGTTTTCACAGACCTCCAAATGTGAAAATAAACTTTTATCACTTATTCTAAATTTTCTTTCTGATGTTTGTCCACATAATTTGTCTAGTGTTTATGATTGCTCGACATTTTCTCATTTAATGGCCATATTTTCACTTTCCAGGGTTTTCCAAGATCCCGCATGGATTTATTCATAAGTCCGGTTAATGTATAGTGTGTGCTCCGGATTTGTGACACATTTTTTGGTTCGAAGTTGGGTTTAGATATTAGTGTAGGTAGTAAAGATGGAAGACAGAATCGCAAAGGTATTGGGTAGCCAGAGAGTTGCACTTGCTTTAAAAAGAAAGCGAGCATTTGATGCATATTCAACAGAACCAGTCTGCATGGAGCACCAGTGGCCTACCTTGACTTCATTAAGTAGGGTGGGAAAGAGACGGAAGCTAGGTGGATGTAGCAGCAGATTTGCAAACTCTGAAACTCGTTTTAAACCCTTGTACAGAGGTTATTCAAATTTTATGAAAAGTGGGATACCAAAACACATAATGTTTTATGAGAATGGTGAGTGGATTAAATTTCCCCGTGATCTTCTTGATTTGGTTGTGGAAGATCTGCAGGTGAAGAAAGCATCTTTGGAAATTAAGTTTAACGGACAGCACTGTGTTCTAGACTTTTTGCATATGTTTTTCTTGGACTTAAATACGGGGTTGCAACAACCTCTTGCATGGATTGATGCAGCAGGGAGCTGCTTCTTTCCTGAGATTTATTGTGCAGATACAAAGGAATGCTGCCATTCCAATAATTTTGAAAATAAAGAACCACAGGTTGAAGAAACTCATGGGTCTAATGTAATCAAGTTGCAGTTGGAAATTGAAATAGGTGGAGTTGACCGATCGAGTTTGAAGGTGTGTAGTGGGGAGTCAAATGATTATGTCAAACCGTCCGGACCTGACGAAGAACTTGCTTATGACCGTGATATGGAAGAAGTTGGGGATAGTTGTGGTAGAATACCTATTGGAAAAACATATGGCGTTGTACCAGAACTTAAAGAATTGGATGTAAACCTCATCTCTGGGACTCAATATGTGAACGGAGGATTGGATACCAGAACCGTGGAGAAAATATTTCGTGATGGAATGATGAGCTCTGATGGTAGTGTAGAGATACTTAATATAAAACACTGCATTGACGCTTCAATGCAATCTCAATTAGAGCTTTTCAATAAGCAAATAGAAATGATCAAAGTGTACAGAGGGGATGCAAATGTTCGTTATGCTTGGCTTCCTGTTTCTAAAACAGAGGTATCTAGCTTGATGATGTATGGAATTGGGCATTGTGGGGTTTCTTCAATCAGATCCATATATGGCACTGGTGTTCACCTCACAGCTGTCAATTGCTCAAATGTCAGGTGGTTAGATTTTTTGAGAACAATAATCATCTTTTATATGATTTTGAACTCGTATAAAGTATGTGTTTGCTACCACCTTCTCTTAATGTTTGAGATCCCCTATTTATTTGTGACATTGGAGGAGGATTTTTTAAAAGAAGAAAATTATTTTAATGTGACTCTGTTACATTCTTCTTGGATTTACATTTATTGTTAAGAAAAATAATTATTTTATTTATTTGCCATAAAAAAACTCTTAACTTTTTTAATGTTTGCAGTTCTTTTACCATCTTCTCTTAGGGTATGTTTTGAGTGATTTTATCATTTGTGCACAGTGATTTCCGGTTTCTTGGAAAGTGTTTTCAAGTGATTTTTGACAATTGATGGCCGAGAGAATCGGTTTCTGACTGACTATTACTTTGGTTAAGTGGACTAGAAATATATATAACTCGTCCAACTCAGTAAATTTTCGTCTTATTATACATCCACCTGCCCTACATGTTTTGCTTATTGTTCATCTGGCACGACAATTTCATACAATGTATCTATGTTGACTGGTATTTCTCATGTTACATTTTGTCCTATGCTTGGTAAATGCATACCATATTGCTTTCAGAAGATTTGATCTTTGTTTATTTACAGTGCAAGTCATTGCGATATTGATGACAATGGAGTGCAGCATCTGGTATTTTGCCGTGTAATATTGGGAAACGTGGAACTTCTTCACCCTGGAAGCAGACAATTCCATCCAAGTAGCAAGGATTTTGACTGTGGAGTGGACAACCTTAAAGAACCAACATATTACGTTGTATGGAGAATGAATATGAGTACTCACATCTATCCAGAATCTGTTGTCAGCTTTAAGGTTGCTCCCAGTCCCAAAGGTGACCATCTTCCCTGGTTTCACTGTTTGTTGGGAGGAGATAGTGACTCAATTCTTATTTCCTTGATAAGTTCTACAAATCCTGCTCTAGAACAGCCATATTTTTCTTAGAGATGTTACTGTACTGATGGTTGGAAATGATACTGTTGATTACAGTTTTTTTTTTTTTTTTTTTTTAATTTTACTTAAACTAGTAGAAATCTAATGAATACATGGAATGGTATTCTGAGCACTTATTGATGCTAGTCCATGCATGCAGTTGAATGCCATACTAATGATGTTTCGGTGATCACTGCATCTCGTCAAGCGTCTCCTGACCAAATACAGTTGGAGTCTTCAGTAGTTAATGCGGTAAGCCTCCAAATTTATCAATTGATTTATATCTATAGCATTGCAGCCATTCATTATGAATATGAAGGTTTGAAACATGGGCTGTGGTTCATGTTTCTTGTTTTCCTGAAGATGGCATTTGGTGAGCTGTGTCAAAAGTATGAGAACTTTATTTATATTTGATCTTTTAGCACGTGGCTTTACTTGCAAATATTAAACTATCTTTTAGGTTAGCGATGGCCAACCTTCAGATATTTTGAGACCTCACGGCAAAGCAGTTAGTGTGGGTTCCAACTCTATGAAAACGCCCAAGTCTCCATGGATGCCTTTCTCCATGTTGTTTGCTGCTATCTCTAATAAAGTTTCTTCTAAAGACATGGAATCTATTAGTGTGCAATACGAACAATTCAGGGTAATTTGAAATTCGAATTTTATGTCATACTTCGTTTTCTCTCTTTTCATGTTATTTATCTTGATGCTGTTTTCTAGGCCAAGAAGATGAATCGTGATGATTTTGTAAGACAGCTGAGACTGATAGTTGGAGATTCTTTGTTGAGGTCTACAATAACAAGTCTTTCCAAGGTCATCTTCTACTGCTGCTTTTTTTCCTATAAAAAAATTTCTTTGATTCTCTATTTCCAAATTCATTCTATTTTTGGTACTTTGACCTCTATACATGAAATTTCAACATCTCTCTTTTTGGACATGAAACAAACTTTTCATTGTTAGATGAAAAAAAAAGATCATGGATGTAAACACCCAAGAGGAGTGAAGATAACGAGCAACCAAACCAAAAAGGGAAAACCGCCTAAGACATACAAGGTAAGATAGAACAATAAGGAACAAAACACCCTAGGGAGAAACAAGCTGACCGCGAAACCAAAGTGACATTGAATCTAAAAATGCCCAATGTTTCTCTTTGACCTCTATACATGAAAATTCGGGTAAAAAATAAATCACAATCTTTTGAGATTGCATTAGTAATTTGTTAACTTAGTTTTTAAATTATTTAGTCCTTTAAACCTCCTAGTCTTAGACAAGATGCCCAAAAATTGGAAACATGCTAGCTAGTTAATGATTATTGATTTTAGAATTAAAGTACGACCAAGTAAAAATCAAATGCATTTTTTGGAGCTTATAATCCTGTTGTCAGTTATCAATGTAAATCCACCCCACCCCACGTGGAAATAAACCATACAAGAGTGGCAAAGACATGGTCGTATTTATTAAAATGTCTATTAAAAATTTAATACCTTTTTACTTTTAAAATTTTTTAATTGTAAATTGTATCATTCACATTTAAGAAATACTACAAAGAACAAAAAAAATTGCCGTACAGTACCTATGAAAAGTTTAAAAGGCCAATGACATGCTTCTAATGACGCAATGTTTTGTTACAAAAGCTTGTAAGAAAAGTGAACCGAGTATAGCTCAAGATTAAGACATTATATCTTCGACAGTTATAGATGTTTGAATCCTCACCCTGCATGTTATTGAACTCATTAAATAGGAAAGGCTTATAAGTAGAGAAAAGTATGACGAAAAATTTCCAACGATACAATGTGTGTATCATAAAAATATTCAAAACAAATAGTGCCACATTGAATTATATAAATCACTTATTTGGACATCACATTGAATTATATAAAACCACTTATTTGGACATCAAGCTTTTCACTTTCAACACTGGAGCATAATTGCAAAACGTCATCCAGAAATAGTTGGTAGAGTTCACCAATGTAGGAAATAGATGATGTTTTGTTTATTGTAAAGTCTAATATGCATCACTATAAGCACAGCTAAGTTTGTAGACATGAGATGAGATAACTGATTTGTCTTTGCATGTTTACTCTATATATCTTTATTTATTTATTACAAATTGATTCAACTTTTTAACAGTGGTGTCTATTCAGTCTCCAACCTTTAAGAAGTCTCATTTACATTCTTTAACAGTGGTGTCTAACCAGTCAGTTCTTACCACCAACATCATTATTCAAGTATTTATGTGGCACATTGCTTGGATTAACGAGTGATTATTTAGCATGACCTAGCAAGTAACTAGGTGGCACAAGTTAGCTAATGGGATAAAATTAGGGCATATGAGCCAAAAAAAAAAAAAAACGTATTATACGGTTAGATAAAATATATTTTTTGGTCGCATGCTTTTATTAGTTTGTCCCAACTAACGTGCTTTTTGTGTGCTTTTTGTGCGTTCACTGTAACAGCCCAACCCCACCGATAGCAGGTATTGTTCTCTTTAGGTTTTCCTAAATATTTTTTAAACGTGTCTGCCAGGGAGAAATTTCAATTTCAATACCCTTATAAAGAATGCCCCATTCCCCTCTCCAACCAATGTGGGATCTCACAATTCACCCCACTTCGAGCTCCAGCGTCCTTGCTGGCACTCGTTCCCTTTCTCCAATTGAGGTGGGACCCCCAATCCACCCCCCGTCAAGCTCAACGTCCTTGCTGGCACATTGCCTCATGTACATCCCCCTTTGGAGCTCAGTCTTCTCGCTGGCACATCGCCTGGTGTCTGGCTTTGATACCATTTGTAACAGTCCAAGCCTACCGCTAGTAGATATTGTCTTCTTTGGGGTTTCCCTCAAGATTTTTAAAACACGCTGCTAGGGCAGGTTTCCACACACCCTTATCAAGAATGCTTCATTCTCCTCCCCAATCGATGTACGATCTCATATCATCACTTATTGCTTTGTTCTCCTCCCCAATGGATGTAGGGTCTCATATCATTACTCATTGGTGATTAATGAAGTTCCTTATTGTGTGAGAAATCTGTTTTCGCTAGGATGTCCAATGTTTTTCTACTGAAACTTCCTCTTTCTTGCAGGTGCCACTGAAATCATCCAGTCCATAACGCTTGGATTTGACCCAACGTGGACAGAAAGTGCTTTTAATGGTAATAGTTATATGATGCTTTTGGTTAGAATGTGTCGACATAAAATTGTGAATATCTCTCGAACATATGTTCATAAATGTGCGGACTGTAGAAGCTCATTTTGCTAGTGATTATTTTTCCAATCGTGGGATGTCGGGTTTTTCTGTTTTAAGCTCTTGCAATGTACTTTGTCGTGTGTCTATTTCTTCGAATTTAGCGTTTCCAAGTTGTTTTCATTTTATGCTGAAGGATTTTGGTTATTGATTATTGAATGTTAGTATGGGTCAGGTTATCGGGAATGAGACGAGCAAAATGTACTTGTGATCTCATCATATTGTAATGAAAGTTAATTGAAGTTCGTATTGAAATCTCTTCTTGTCATCTTTCTATCTCAAAGTAGTGTCGTTCATGTATCCTTTTTTTGCCCTTCTTCATTTGAGGTTTTTTTTTTTAATATCTAAACAAAAAAAAATTAACGGTTAAATTAAAAGATTAGTAATCTTCTATTAAATAAAATAAAATAATATTATACATTATACATAAATCTAAATTTGTAATTCGCAATGTCGACAGGTTAACAAATCAAATAAAGTTTAAAACTAAATTTAATAAAATTTACTAAATCTTAATGAAGATGCCAAGCTGTAAAAGTTTTACCGGCACGAATATGAAAAAAGGGTAAGTTCATAATTTGATTCCACCCAATGAATAATATTACATGTATTTCTTTAAAAAAAAAAAAAAAAAATAACATTTTTAACAAACCCTTTTTTTTTCAAAGGTACAATTGAGGGTGGAGAAGAGTGAAATTACCAGAAAATTTGTTAAATGAAAGCTTAATGTCGAAATAAAGAGCCGCAAAGCCTCTGTTTCAGGCACCGGTGTTCTTTGTGTTTTCATCAGAAGCAGGATCCCATCCAGGAGGTTTGATGTTTGGCCAGTCACCACGACATCCCAATCGGATGTAAAGACTTTTCTTATCTACAATAACATAGCAGAGGAAATTGCTCAATCGGTCGAAATATAAACGAACCACACGAACTCTAATTATTCAAACTGCAAAGAAAATCGACAGCCTCAATGTTTCGATCTTTAGTGTATTAATGTACGAACAAATCAAAGATCGAAATAAATTGCAAATCTGGAAACATGATGACGAACTATTCCTAGGCTGCCTCAGCAAAGCTGTGGCTAAGCATTCCTAATAGGTACCCCTTTATTTATTACAATAAAAAAACCTAAGTAACACTAAGATAGTAATTTATTACAATAAAACAATATCCCTTTATTTATAACCAAGACCACCTAGCTAAGTATAATAGCCTTAACTGATATCCTACTAATATTTTCGATAAATACTAGTATAATAGCCTTAACTGATATCCTACTAATATTTTCGATAAATACTTATTTATCGAAAATATTACATGCAGTTCAAGCTAAACAAGGAAACACCTCAAAGTTCAAGCTAAACAAGGAACTCCATATCGACAATCGTGAGATTCATATTACATGTCAGTATGATATCATATCGACAATCGTGAGATTCGTATGGATCATAATTCAACGGCATCAGATCTGATATTAGTCTCCTATCTATCAGTAATGCTGTCTGAAGTTCAGTATGTGTGTGTGTATATATAGACATGTATATGCATATGCATCAACATTCTCCTAATTTTATCTCAACATGCAGCAAGAATAAGAAATAAGCAATGTATAGTAAAAAGCTGGTAAAGCTATATATCGTAGATAGTTATATAGAGTAAATGGTTATATAAGCAATATATGGTTAAGCTAAACCATATATATATCCTTCTCGGCAGACCTTTGAAAATGTATTTTCTATATTCAATGTATTCTCTCTCACTATATCGGTAGTCATCCATACAAAACCTTTAGCCAATATTCTCCTTACATTTTCTCTATCTTGTTCTTTGTGTTCATCTAGATCTATATTTGTAGTCATCAATACAAAACCTTTAGCCAATATTCTCCTTACATTTTCTCTATCTTGTTCTTTGTGTTCATCTAGATCGAGTGTGTGCATTGTTGTGCGATCCTAACAATGTTTCTGTGTAAGATGTAGTGGGTATGAAATGGCGAAAAACTTAATAAATAAAATATATGTTTTATAAGTTTTTTTTATTTATAAAACATACTTTTGATAATTTAAAATCATTGATAGATGTTTAATTACTTTTTTTTTGTTAAAAATATTTTTTCAGAAGTGTTTAATCTAGAAGATATTCCAAACATACCCGATGAATGTATGCTAAACATACTTTAAATTAGAAATACTCCATAGTTTATATAAGGATTGATTTTGTTCAAAAAACAATTTTTATGCAAGTTATTCCAAACACACCAGAATTCGAGATTGGGTGAAACAGAGTATACCTGGAAGGTTTTTGTCCGACAGAACAAGTTGCTTAAGGGCACTTAATGCTGCCTGAGCCACTGCTTTGGAATGAGCATCATCCCAACCCTGAAGTTTAACTACAACTTCTGCGTTTGAGTATGCTACCTTACTGTCTTGCATATGTCTCCTAGCTTCTTCCTTAGCTGCACTTTCATCTGCATTTAAAGAACCAAGCTTAGAAAAGTTGCGATGATGCGGGATTCTTCCAACCCCTCAATATTAGAGGAAAAACAGAGCCTAAGGAACCTTGCCCGGAAGGGGCTCTCCTGTTTCATACTGGCTTGACACTTATTTACCGATAAAGCCTAAAAAATTAATGATATGACAAGGGTGAATGAGGTAAAATCAACTGAGATTCAGGTTCTGAAAAACAGCTTTATCAAGTGAAAGAAATCCACAGGACAAAGAAAGTAAATGCTTAATTTAATCCCATAGAGATGATAAATGTTTCTCTTCTTTCTTTTTCTATTTCTTTTGGAACTAAATAAAACAGAGACAATGTATGGAAGAAGATACCCGTAGCCTCGGTTTGTGAAAGCCAGACAGTGAATCCTGCATAAAGATGTCTCCAAGTATCAGTTCTTCCAGCAGCTCCCTGTCGACCACCTAGCGTTGCAACAACAGTACGTACATGGCTGCGTAATCAACAGGAAAGAGAACATACATTCTCCAATTCTATTAATCAAGCAAATGCTAAAAGGATGGACAAGTTTTGGATATACCTGCTTAAACTTTCTAATACAGCGTTTTCTGCTTGTGCTACAGCATCAGAGCCTTCGGCAAGCATCCCTGGAATTGATTAGTCATTAACACACTGCAAAATCGGGGATAAAAGTCATTTCAAGCATGTAACGCAATTTTGCTTTTGTCTGAGTTGGCACTATCAAATCTTGAGGTAAATGGTAAACCATAGTAGCCTGATGTTAAGCCTCCTATTGTAAATATGCATGCGAGGATAGTTAGTTAACCTTAGTTGTTTGGGTTTATTCTTGGATAAATCCTTTTAGTTTCTAATTTTGTGTTTTAAATTTTTAGTTTGTTCCAATTCACTATAAATATAAATAGAGAATTGCTCTCTTGTATTCATTAACATTGGATTGGTAATATTGAGTTTAGACTCCTTGGAGAGAATTTCCCCTGGTTTCTTTGGCTACACCAATTTTCTAAAAAATCCCAAGTTGTAGATTTGAAAATAATTGGATAAGAACAAAACACCCTCTGCCTATCTTTTAATGGTAATAATATAATCCACTTTGGGCATAGGCCTTAATGGTTTTTTTTTTTTTTGGAATCATACAAAAGACCTCGTACTGCTCGTACTGCTGGAGATAGTTGTCCTCACTTATAAACCATAAACCATGAACCATGGATCTCTCCCTTCCCTCGTGAATGTGGAACTTGATAGTACTCCTCACACAATTGTTGGAGTATCTTTCAATGTCTACCTCTGCATCCAAAGATGAGAAATCCACGCAGGGAACACTCTCATGGAAAATATTGAAAACTTCAAATTGGATCGGATCGAGGTTATGTAAGTTCCTTGCCTCCTTAAGGAATGAACTGAGTCTCTTTCTTTCTATTATTATTTGTTTTAATGAGTGAGCTTGGAGTATGGGCGAGTCTCGCAAGTCTTGAGGCAAAAACACACATCTATCTAGAATTTGTTGAAACTAAACTTGAGTAGCAGAAATTTTCTAACACTCTCATAGTACCCGCTATGCTCACACTAGAAATTTCCCTTTCATAAAACAATGTTGATGTGAAAATCAATTAATGAGAGTAGTACCCTTACTACCCCAGTATAAGAGACTTCCCTACAAGTATCTAAGGTCAGGATCAGCGCATCAACACACTTGGCAGGTTTATTTTTGGGTTTAATTGCACGGTCTTGCTCAAGGTTTTGAAAGGCGTTGGATTGGGTCACACGAGTATAGCTTTGCACCTGAGGGCAATGGAGTGTACTCAGCCCATGTGCAAAGCGCGACCCAAAATATCGAGTTTAGAGGGGTGAGGCCCTCCATCCATCTCATAATGTCTTGGTGGTAGCTTTAACCATCGCCAATCGAAAAGTCCATCGTATTTTGGTCAATGGAGCAAGTTCAACCGATGTCCTATCTTTGACAACATTTAATGCAATGAACCTGGGAAGAGAGCGACTAAGGAGCTGTACAACCCTTCTCAAATTTGGAGGGGAGAAGGTCTGGTGAGCTTTCATCTTTCATATAGACGAACTTAATTCTCAAACCGTGTGTCAAAACTCATATCGAAACCCCGACTTCTAAGGTTATGGCCCGAAGTCCTACCCAACCCTCTTCGAGCTTGTCTTCGACACTTGTGCCCCTCGTTCTCTCGAACCTTGCATATGTCTCGACCTAGCTTCAATGCACACTCTTGGTGTGTTGGATGATGCACCGTCCTCCTCAGTCCCATCATGACACTTCTCAATTTTGACCCTCATGTGGCCGAATGGGCACCACTTGAGAGTCGCCTCTTGTCTATCTTGTGTGTAGGGGTCACACCCTACTTTCTCACAGTGAGGTTGTGACACTCTCCCCCACTTAACTTAGTCGTCATCCTCGATGACTTTCTCGGGGCACAATCGTGTCGATTCTAAAGGCAACATTGAACTTCCCATGACCTTTGGGGAAAACTCCGCCACCGACCAAAGCTCTAATGTAGAGAGCTAACCTACTAGTTGGCTTACTTGCTTGTTCAATCAAATGAAATTCTATCTCCATATAACTGTCAAAGTTCGTAACATAAAAGGGAATGGCTCGGCTAGGAAGAAAGTAATTGAACCGTTAAAAGAAAGATTCTTTCAGCCCTTTCTTTCAAATCATTATTGGTTGCCGCATATTAGGGATAACAGGCTCCCTGAAACCAAGAGAGGAGAATCCAAATCCGCCGAATCACTCATGTTATGATCTTCTACATCCTAGGTCGTTG